AGAAACACACAAAAAAACGAGCATTTCTACAAACAAAATAGAACACAAAGATAGGATTGTAAATACTCAGAAAGGATGAAATTGTGAATTGCATATCTCTTGCTTTGTAAAAAAAAACCTATATATATATATATATGTATCTGGGTATATATAGTAAATTTAACATATTACTTGTAAAATTGTCTTGCTTATCTCTGCTGCCTTCTGAACTTCCTTCTATTCTCTATGCTCTTATAAAAGTTTTTTAACTTTTTTTAATCATCATCATCACCAGTAACTCCTTCCTGTCTTCCCCTCCTCCTCCAAGTTAAAAACAGGAAAAACCCTTTATAACAAATAAGTATAGATAAGCAAAACAAATCTACATTATGACCATTTCCAAAAATACATATCTCTTTCTACATCTTGAATTGATCAGCCCTCTGTGAAGGGGCAGAGTATAATGCTTCATTAGTGCTCTGGAGTGGTGCTTGGTTACTGCATTGATCAGAGTTTTTAAGTCTTTAAAAGGTGTTTTTCTTTAAAATGTTATTTGCCTCATATAAATCCTTGTCTTGGTTGTGTTCACTTTACCCTGCATCAGTTCTTTCTAAGAGCCCTTGAAATTGTTCCTTTTAAAATTTCTAACAGCCAAAGGTACGCTGGTAAATGTTTAACAACTGACTCTCTGGGGGAAAAAAGATACCCGTGACACCCTTTTAAGTTTAATTGGTATTATTAACATTTTCTCCATCACTTTCTTAAGTCTAGAAGATAATCAATACAGCAATAAATCAAGCTCTGGTTTGTAGCATGTACTATTTCAGTGGTGTAAATGCTGGCAATGGAGATGGAACATTTGCCCCATGAACTGGATCCAGCACACCCCTACAGTCACAGCTCAATAATATGTGAAATTACATATGTAGGTGCATTGTCTAAATACCTGACCCACCTCTGCCGAGAATAGAAGGGTTCTGTCTGCACCACCAGTATTGGCTAGGGTGAGAGAATAGGGAAGGAGAGGTCAGGCAGTCTGTTCTCTACGATTCAAGAGGGGTATTGGGCTGGAATTGTGTCTATCTGCCACCCCACCTCTCAATATATCTGGTCTAGGAATATGAGCCCCTGATCACTCTTAAGGGAGAGGGCAGCCCTTAGCTTACCCTTACCAATTTAGCCTGTCTTCACCTTATAGACCCAAAAGACCGTTATACATAGTGAATAACAAGTAAGCTCATTTATCCAAGAAAAATAGCAAACAGAAATAATAGAAGTTATACAGTTTAGCAGGGATGGGGTACCTGTGGCTTTGAGGCCACAAGTGGCCCTGAAGGTCCTCAAGTGCGGCCCTTTGACTGAATTCAAATCTCACATTTGTTCCGTGAAGTTTGGATTCAGTCAAAGGGCTGCACTTGAGGACCTAGAGGGCTATGTGTAGCTTCGAGGCCACAGGTTCCTCACACCTGGTGTAGAGTATACCAGAAAATACAAGGTGTCCCAAAAGTCTTAGTGCAGCTTTAAGCTTTAAAGGTGCATTAAGACTTTTGGGATATCCTGTTCATAAGATAAAACGAGCTCTTCAGCTGTGAGCAAGGTGAGATCTCAGATCACACTAGAAGAGAGCAGAAGATCTCACCTGGGTAGGTCTTCTCTTGGCAGTCTGTAGCATTGCAGACCCTGGAAGTAAAGAACATGTATGGAGCCAGTTCACATTTGTGCATGACTCAGGAGGCTGCCTTCCACCATTTACAGTTTTGCTCTTTCCATGGCTTCCCTGGAGCGGGTCTTTGAACTTTATATCTGATTGTTTAATAATAGTACCTACCTCCCAGAGTAGTTGTGAGGGTCAAATGAAATCATAATTGTAAAGCACTTAGCATGGTGCACTTATGTAATAAGGGCTACATATTTGTTAGTTATTAGTGTTTGTAATTTTTTTTTTTGACATAGAAGCTCTGGATTTTGGCTATCTCATTTTTAGAAATTTTCCTTTTTGAGATTTCTTTCAGAGGGGATGAGTGAATTCTTTCTACCTTCACTTTGCCCTCTGGTTCTAATAAATCATTTACGATTTCTTGAAATAGGGTTGTTGCTTTTTTATTATGTCTTTTATTATTATTATGTTATTGTTATGTTTTTATTTTATTATTTATTATTTGGGAGTCCAAATGATGCTTAAATTATTATTCCTTAACTTGTTTTCTAGGTCAGTTGTTTTATATATCAGATATCTTATATCTTCTCCTACTTTTTCAATCTTGATTTGATCTAACATTTATTTCTTACTCTTGGAGTCACTGATTTTTGTTTGGTCTACTCTAATTTTCATGGAGTCTGTTACATGGGTAAGGTTTACCACTTTCTGATCTAAGCTAACTCTTCTTCTTCCAATGCTTTCCTATAGAGCTTTTA